GAATTCGTTACAGAATTTATTGAGAAGCAAATTAAACCATTACCAGGCTGTGAGCGCGTGGCAACAGAAGCGCTTATGATTTTTTTTATGGTTCCCCCATTTAATTATTTTGGGGATTTTGGGGACCTATAAAAAATAGTTAGTATTCAAAGATCGTTAAGTAAACAATTAGGTATTATTCTTTGAAGTCTCCTAAAGAGAAAAAGAGTTTGCAAATTGAAAAATATTGACTTTTAAGGATTTTATCTCTATTTCTACGAAGAAATGTTTTTTCTCATATAAAATACGTGGAAAACTTCATGGTGTGGTAGAGCCCTCAAAATGACACACAATTCTTACTTTTTTACCTTTTTCTTAGCATGTGTAAAATTACGCAAATTTCGATACCTCTTGCGATAGTGTAGCTCAAACAAATTTTTTGGCGGGACACCCTAATGTACATATGTACGTGCCCTTAACTTTTTTTACTTAGTATTTGTGTGTAGAGGGCACTGAGAAGGCAACATTTTCGGTAGAAAAGAAAACGCCATTAGATTCGATTGGATCAGCTGGTAGATAACAATATGTGGCTGATATATGTCTACGATACGTTTGGTTGAAGCTGCTACAGTTTTGAATGGCGATATCTATGTATGTGTTTGGCGAAATGGAGGTTGAACGCTGTAATGCAACTATGTACTAACAGATGGGAGTAACGTAGGTCATTGCTGGATAGACGAGTCAGACAGGCTGCAAGTATGGACATAGAAAATGAGCATACATTGGATTTGAGTGGATTTTCAGTGTTTGGTAGAGAGTTAAAATATCAACGACTATTATAGGAGTCGATAAAGGGAAATATGTCAATAATCTTATTACATTAAACAAGCACATATCCTCGTATATTGATATAGTATATATATATATATATATACATAGGGTTCTCGGAAGCGGCTCTAACGCTTTTGATGAAATTTTGTACACCGATACTGTTTTGGATTTTAAGGTTATCTGAATAGGCAATATCTCCGAGAAGACTCGTATGTATAAGGTTGCCACCTATTCGAAACTAGTTACAAATTAATTAAAGCATCATAATATGGGTATCAAATGGAAGGTATTTTAAAAATCCCTAATTCAAAAATATTTTTAATAGGTTGCCACCTATTGTGAATCGCATATTTAGTGAATTTTTTGTTTAGAAAAAAGGTTAAATATTACTATTCATGGGTATCAAGAGAAGGTTCTTAAACAATGCTTTCCCTATATACGAAATGTTATCTATTAGGATAATAGTGTAAGGTTGCCACTTACTTTGGATTATAAACAATTTAACTAAAGCATACCAATATGGATATCCAATGAAAGGTATTGTTGAGAGCTTTGGTCAAAAAATATTTTCGATCAGGGTTGCCACGTTTCTATGTAATACAAATTTGTATTTTGTTGATTTCAATCAAAATTTTTGTTTGATGTATACACAGTACATATACCCTCAAGATATGTACCATTCATTCCAACATATTTTGGAATATGGTTGCCACACACATTTTAGAGTAAGGAATTTACTTAATAGATATCGAAATCCTATTTTTTTTTGTTAATTTCCAAAATATTTTTTTAAAGCTACTTTTAAAGAAAATTTTATAAAGTATATGCACTCCGGACAAAGCCCGGCCAACCTGGTACTGATAAAAAAGTACATTAAAATTACATATTTGAATTTCAAATTTTGAAAAAAAAAAGATGTACGATAAAAAGACGATATCTATTGAATGAATGAAGCCTGGACTTGCAAAGGAGAGAAAACTGGATGTTATTATATTATATAAATTATAAGAATTATGATATCGATAACAAAATGGATAGCGGTAACAAAATTGATAGTGATAAATGTATCGACGACTATAAATAAAGCGAAAAATAGACAAAAATATCGATGGTAAAAATATCAATCATCATTTAAACTACATACACGGAAAATCTCGTGGATGCTAGTCACACCCATGTACCCATAAATTAAATTTTTCGCAAGTAATGCAAAAATTTAAAATATTTATGTAAACAATTTTCAAAGGATTTATATATATTAGCGTTCGCCCAGCGATTGAAATGAAACCACTAAAATTAAGGGGAGTTGAGGTGAGAGGTGAGAAAAGGTGAGTTGGGGAGTAATAAAATTATTTAGGGTGAGTTGAGTGGAGGGGAGTTGAGCTTAGCACTTAGCATAACATCACATAATATAGCATAACATAACATACCACAACATTATATAACATAACATAAAATAACATCAAATAGCATAACATAAAACAACTTTGCATAACATTAAATAAAAAAACAAAACACAACATAGCGTACCATAAAATAACATAAGATAACAAAACATAACATAGTACAACATAACTTAACATAACATAACATAACTTAACACGAAATAACATAAAGTAACACAACATAACGCAACATAACATAACATAAAAAACATAGGATGACATAACATAGCATAAATAACATAATAACATAACATAACATAGCATAACATAACATATCGTGCCATAACATAACATATCTCATTCTTCAGTTTTATCCTCTTTATCTCTATAACTTTCTGTCTTTTTTATCTGTACTTATATATACATATATATATGTTAATCTATATATTATATTTGTATTTATCTTTTCATTTTTATCTGTATCTCTTCCTTTATCTTTATTTTAATCTTTATCTTCATTCTTTTCTTCATCTACATATACACCCCCACCATTGTCATCATATTAAGTATGAAAATTTGCCTCCCTCTTTATATTTATCTTCAGATTTCTTTACTTTTATTTTAAATCTTTGCTTTTATCCCTCTCTTCTTCTGAATACTCAACTTTACCTTCTTACTGTGCCCAAAAGTTATGTCTCAACTGCTGCTTAGCACTTTCTTTAATTCAGTATCAATATTAAAGCATACATTTAGGAGTCATTTCCGTTCCAACTACGTACATGTATGGTATTTATATTGATGTCACTTTTGAATAGATTTTTGCGCTTTATTTTAAACTAATTTGAAATTTGAGTTAATCTCTGCACATCAGCATCAAAATACCTTTCTAATGATATATAATTCTCTATACCTTAGAAGTATAGTTTCGCCGTAAAAGGGGTGTAAAGAAAACATGTTTGCCTATTTATATACAAGATGTATATAATTTATACCGCTGAACGCTGCAATCCAGAGCGAAACGAGTGGACTAGGGTTGGTCTAAATTCACATGTAACCGGAGGGCAGCTGTATTAAAATTATATTTTCTCAGAGATTGCCTCCCTAAATGTAGCACGTCGTTATATTTGGGCCGCATCCATAGGCGGTCAACTGTGGACGTTCGCTGGTGTCATCCATCCTGCATGGTGGAATGATAGTGTTGAACTTAACGATGCGGTAGCCGATAAATAGTTGATGAAGCAAAATATTTCTGCAAGCGGGAAGTTCACTTGCCTGCCGGTGCCGAGAAAATTTGTGGAAAAGCTAAATTAAAAGTAATTTTTAATATTTTTGCTCTGCCGCACTTTTAAAATTTTTCAAAGGTTTCGAAAAACACACGTCATTACTTATGAAACACTCTTTCTTTTATATTTAGTTTTAAATGAGAAGCTTTTGAAGGCTCTCTCACGTACATACATATTTTTTTTTTTTACATACACACACATAAAAAATATGATTTTGTTACTTTAAGGACTACTACTAAACATGCTCCATCAAAAAACAAAAACAACGTGACCACTTTATCTTTAAAATATTACAAAAAACACACAGTAACCGGGTGAACCACAGCTTTACCAAATACTACTCCACAGAACGCAAAAACATACTTCCTTCTCTACGCGATCGATTGCCTTAAAGTGGTCGCATGAGTACATATGTATACGCATGCTATCGATGTCCGCTTTTAAGCTTGCCTTCACAACCACTCCGATTCACTTCATAACTTGCTCTGCCTACCCTCTAACTCAGACTTCCTCGCACCTTTACTTATTCATGATGATAGTGCTCGTAGTGTTCCAAATGTGGTTCATGATGTTCGATTTCGTGATGTCCATGATCGTGGAAATGCGACTCGCTCTCCTCTTCCAAAACCAAACCATGATTGTGACTGTGTTCGGTTTCCGGATGCAAAATTTTCAATTTCTGTTTTGTGCCACCGATTTCGATGGGATTCTTGAGCAGATGTTTGTCCTTGATATAGACCGGTACTGGATGGTAGTGATGGAATTTGACGCTTTGATGGGAGGTGGCATGCTTGTGTTCGATCTCGTGATGATGTTCCGATTCTTCGGGTTCCTTGTGATGTTCATATTCGTGATGTTCGAAATCGTGAATTTTCAATGCGGTTGCCAAAGTCAGCAACAATGCAGTGCAGAGGAGCTGAAAGAGATACAAAGCGTGAAGATAAATAATAATGCTAAAAATAAAATTAGGAAAAAAATACATAAAATAAAATAAAACAGATAAAATAAAGTAAAATTAAAAATTTAAAGTAAAATTAACAAATATAGAGTAAAATTAAAATAAAGAAATAAAATAAATATATAAAAAAAATATTAAAAAAAATCAAATAAAATTATATGAATTGAACTACAAATAAAATTCGATTCAATTCAACTAAAAATAAAAGCAATATAATGAAATTAAAAAAAAAGTATTACAAAACAAAATGAAATAAACATAAAATAAAATAAATATGTCATTTTGAGGGTCGTAATGTCTCAAGCTCGTACTTATTTACTTGAAATAAAAATGTTTTTAAACTGCTTGAAAATATGTGTATAATGAGCTCTTATGCGAACCTCCTAAAACTATTTAAGCCGTTATTTTAGGTTGAACATTTTTACGAATTTGAGACATTACGACACTACACACGACTTTTGAGCCACCTAAATAAAAAATAAAATAAAATTATAAAAAAACCGTAAAAATTAAAATTAAGTTATATTAAAAAATATGTAATTAAAATAAAAAGTAAAATTTAATTAATTAAAATACTTTTAAAAAATTTTAAATTTAATTGAAAGTATTAGCTCAAATATAAAATCCTAGAATTTTTCTTAAACTAAATTATTTATTATTAAAAAATGCTAAAATATAAAATATGAGTGTCTACAAAAAAAAAATATATAATTACATAAAATATTATTTTTTATTTGCTTAAATTACTGAACTCTTTGAAACAAAAGCTTTACACTTAAACAATTTGCAAATTTTTTTAAATTTTTGTAGTGAAAATTTTTTCTAAATTCTNGGCGATATACTTTCTAGTTAAAGTATTAGTCCGAAAATTTCGTAAATCTTTTCCAAGTATAACTGATTTTTGTATTAAAAACTTTTAATCTCTAACCGCCAGTTCCACGCCACTTTTCCTTAAAATACTGAAACTGATTTATTTCTTTGAAACTGAACTAAAAATTTTTGCGCTTAAACATTTTGCAAATTTTTCAAATTTCTTTAGTTAAAGTTTATATCAATTATTTACTTATTTTTTACATTTTTGTAGTTATTACAACTGATT